GATGCATATGTTCATGCAAAATCTTATTACAATAACAGAGTGTTTTATGATGAGTGTGCATATGATTATTCTATCCAAAATCACCTAATCATAATGTAAATCATACAAACACCAATTTCTAAAAACCCAAAATTCAACAACTAATGTCATTGCTAGAAGTTTAAGCACATGTTTAAACTCCAATTCAATAGCAGTGCAAAATCTATTTGATCCTTAATGCAGATTGGGGGTCTTGATGATTCCATTTGTAGATGAGCTTGAAAATGATTATTAATTATCATTAATTAAGACTTACCAAACATAAACCCTAAATTGTTCCTAAGACTATCTTAAGCCTAAATTTGAGTTTAAGTACAACCTAATTGCTAAGCCTAAGATGCCTCCTATCACTACGACTATTCATAAGCAACTTGTGATAGAATTACAAGTTGATTTGGAAATTCTAATTTTTCTACAATACTATTGTATAAAAAATGATCTTAATTTATTAGAACTCAATGAAAATACGACACTTATTGTATAAATCTTAATTTATTAGAACTCAATGAAAATACGACACTAAATAGGATGCAATGGAGAAAAAGGATTCATGTAGCCGACCCCACGTAGTGGGATTAAGGCTTTGTTGTTGTTGTTGTACTCTTCCCGTGAGAGTGTTTAATAGGTGTCAAGCCTATGGTGCCTCCTATAACTGCAATTATTTTAAGCACCTTGCGATGAAAAAAAATGTTAACTTAGAGATTCTAATTTTCCTACAATATTGCTCCCCATAGGTTGCTTCATAGATTTCTGAACTATAACATACTTCATCATAAGAAATACATGTCGAACACATATTATCACTATTGTCATTTCATTTTATATAAAATGAGGATATAAATTTCATGGCATCATAACTATCAAAAAAATAATCATTATTCTATAACTCCCACAAAATAAGAGATGGTTTCTTTAAATGATTACCAAAGGTTGAATTAAGATCTAAAAGGAAGCATAATTAATTTCAGAAATATTTCATAAGTGTAAGATCTAAAAGTATGGCTGAGCTTTACAAGAAAAATTCCTAGAAATTCAGTATTTTATCTCTGCACCATAAAAATGGTGCCTCTCTTAATTTGGAATAATTCCCAATTATGAGACCAAGGGGTTTCTTCTCCTATTATCCTTAGTTGGTAAGAAAGACTTGAAAATTCAAATGGAAAAGGTTATTTCATGAATCAAGAAGCAACTTTAAATTAAACAAGATTGGCCTCATTTAAAATAAAACTTAAATTAAGGTATTAAAAAATAAAGCATTAACAGAAACAAAATTCAACATTAAATTAAACAACACTCTCTCCCTTAAAGCAAAGCTTTTAATTAGGGGTTTATATCAATAAAACATTATTAAAGGAATTTTCAAATTTCAAGGTAAACAACACTCTACCTTGAACAAGGCTTAAATAGAGAGTTATAAAAATAAGCATTATTGAAAGTAATTTCAAATTTTAAATTTAAGGAGGAAATAGCTGGCTTCAAGAAGAAATTTTATTGAAATATATTATTTTTATAATTATCATGTAACGACTATAAATATTTAGTAGCACTATAATTTAAACAAGCTTGGGTTCTATAATGCAGGATGCCTTGGCTATTTTGTTAGGATGGCCTAAATTGCTCACTCCTATGAAAACTTTAGTGAGCCGCTTTTGAAATAATATTTTCTACTACATTCCCATATTGAATAAAGTATTAGTTTCTTTTCTATGATTGCATTTCTTTTTTCATAGTTCATGATGGCATTATCTCCACTCTCCATCAATCCATTTCTTACATATCATGGCTCAACCTCAACCTTTTATTCTACCATGTATAAGACTCACTTCTAGAATAACTTCATTTGCCACCACCTTCCATCCCTTCATCAAATAAAATTACAGAATGAAATAAATACACCATATTTGAGATGAATATAACATAGTTGCTTTTTTTCTTTTTTTTAATTGTTGATTTATATTTTATTTTTAACAACTTCATGATCTTTTTTCATCTATGACTAAAAACTTTTCTGATATACTATTTCATAAGTTAAAGGCTTAATAACTTCTTTTATTACTCCTTAGTTTGGTACGTGGACTAACAATATTTGAAAGATTATTCGTTTAATAAATTTTATTTCTCATGATGAAGAAAAAGCATCCACCTCACTTCCTCTCATTAGTTGTTTGCTATTCATCTATAATTTAAAAATATTTTTTCAAATCTCCATTTCAAAAAGTTGAGTGCTTGGTGGCTTCATATGTTACTCTTTGATTTGATGATCTAGATAGATGTTATTAATTTAAAATAGTTTATTCATTGTGATGAAGAAGTATCCACCTACTTCCCTCATTGACTTCTTTTCATTTATAATTTGTAATTTTATTTTAAACCTCCGTTTTAAAAGATCAAAGGCTAGGTGATTTTTTGTGTTACTATTTAAATTGGTAACCTGAACTAACTCCTTTTGAATTATCATTAGATCAAAATATTTTATTTCTTAATATCAAAAAGAAGTAATCAACCCATTTTAGGGTTCCTTATTTGTATTTTTCTATCTTAAAATTATTTTTTATTTCAATAAAGAGACATATATCCCATCCCTTTGATCATCATCAAGGCATTTAATGATACAAGCATCACATTAATGTACCACCAAATATTCAACTCTCATTAAGAACAATATTTGAAGGAGAAAGTTGAAATAGAACAAGGATGCACGTTTTAAGCCATCATAGCAATAGGAAAAGATACAATAAAGTATTCCAAGAGTTTCACAAAGAAAGTTTTAAATGATTTTTAAAGGATTCAATTAAGATCAATTAGTAATAAAATTAACTAAATGGCCTTCAGAAATTCTGCATCAATCCTTAATATTTCCTCTATCCTTCATAGGAGGTGATAATGTTATCTCTACTCTACATCAATACTTTCTCAACATGTCTAAACTTGGTTGCACCATGGTAAAGAACCACTCCTAACATACCTTCATTCACCACCAGCTCCCATCTCCTTATGACCATGTGACTATAAGAACTTCATCAATGGTATTGAGTTGAAAAAATTGAATGAAGTATAACATTTAGATCTTATCTTTTATGTTTGGGTTACATGTGAATTCAAGATATATTAACGAAGCACTTTCACCACCTCCTCTTCTATGTGCTTCTATAAAACTTTTTAGGGAAGAAAGATTTCAATTAGTCTTAGTAAGTTAAAGCAGAAAAAAGATGTGCTTTAAAAAAATTTTGGACATATTATTTTAATATAGAATTTAATATTATTTTTAGTACTTTATTTCATGCTAATTGTATTTGATTCTACCATCATCATCCCTAGTCTTTTCCTAACTATTTCATGCTGACTTCGTGAATCCTCGTTTTTTATTTGATTAAATTGAATGCTTTCTTATAATGTAAACTTATTCTTCACAAATCATTTTGAAAAGCTTCTATTCATGTTAACCAAACACCTCTTTATTCCTAATTTTTTTCACACTTTAAAACTAAAACTCACACATTGTAGAAGCATCAATCAAGAATAGTTGCTATAAATTTTCCTTGGATGAAGTCCTAATCTCCTAAATAGTGTAATATTGTAGAATCCTCACCTGGAAGGACATTGATGCTGTGACGAACAACTCCATTTCATTGGTTGAAGTAGTATAGATAATAGGCATTAAAAAAGATTTTCAGTAAATGCTGCATAATTTTGGTGGGACAATACCATGAAAAAAATTTCGAGTGCATGATACTAATTATTGTAGGACAAGTCTTAAATTATCAAAGCAAGGGAAGGAGAAACAAAAATGTGGATAACCAAGAAAAATACAGCACCTAACCTAGGAATGGGGAGAAGCATGCTAAGATTCATTTCATTCTGTTATCATAATTTACTTTCCAATGACCCCTCAAACCTTTAAAATAGAGGTTTCTACAAGAAAATAGTAATCAAACCCATTGTAAACAACTATAATGTGCTAGATAATTTAAAATAAGAAAAGAAATACAATTATAATTCAACTAAATTGTAACGATACGACAAATAATCATGCAAATCTGACATTAGGATGTCAAATATTTATTGGGGATATAATTGCTGAACCTCGATCTAGACAAAGGAAATAGTAAAATCTAATTATATAATCTTCTCCCTAAGAAGATACTGGGTTTCAATACAAGAGAAACTTGCAACTACCTTTCATAGACCATGATTTTCAACCTTATTTGTAGGTTTTCATAGGTTCTATAGCAGTGAACGAATTTCATGACGTTCATAAACAGTTCAACTGAATCAGACGTGCACACAAGAATAACACTTCTTGACCATCAAAACAAACAAATACATATTACTAGCAGTACATGGCAGAGAAAACATGGAGATATGAGTAGGTGAAACAAGGAATGGCAGAAAAATTGGTGCTGTTTGAAGAAACCCAGAAAGCTGGTAGAAACGCTGACCTTAAATCCATTTCAATTGCTGCAAACCTTTCTTCTAAAGGAGGTGTTTGGTTGCAATTAGGATTTAGTAAATCCGTAAATAGAAAATCGGAAATCGTAAATCCGTTGAATCGTAAATCTATTAAATCCAATCTACCCCTGGATTTAGTGAATCTGAACTTACACTGAATCAAATGCAAAATTTGGGACCTTAAATCCAAAAATTCACAAATCCACGAAGCTCCTGAATTTTAGCATTTGGCTGGATTAAATAAATCCGGTGATAAATCCTATTAAAAGGAACTACAAAATATCTCCTAAAAGTGTTCATGTTGCACCTAAAAACATTTATTAAAAAAGCAGATCAATTCAGTTAAAACTGAACACTCTACCATCTTCCAGGAGTAACAGTGAGTAATGGTTAAAGAGAACTTCTGCATAGTTAACATGAACCAGTAGTGGAAGCAGAATAGGACGCTTCTACAATCAGTCTATCATAAATGAACTCATCAGAAAGCAAAAAAAATATCTAGAGTGACTTACATGGTTTTCATCCGAACTCTTCTTCCTGGTTCTAGTCAAATTGGAATTTGTAACATTAGAAAAGCGAAGAAAAAGCTCTTGAATATGATTATATATGCTGCACTCAACAATACAAGAAAGAGAAAAAGAAAGTGTCAGTGTATGGGTTTTACAGTATTGCAAGACTCGTTTATGAGAATTTGACAACCAGAAAATGATACGGCTAGCTTAAAATATTAAAAACATTGAATTGAAGATGAAAACCAGAAGAAACCAAATACTTCACAAACTAAGTAAAATAGAAGAAAATAACTCTTGAAAAGCATCATCCGACATAATCTCTGATAATGAATAGGTTTAACATTTTTCATCATAATAAAAAAACAGGCCAACTTCTTCAAACAAATTTGCCAAGGAAGAAACATATAAATCCTTTGTGCTAGCCTACCGGACAAATGACTGCATTTAAGGAACCATTTTAAGCATATCTTCAGCCACGTAAATTGATAAGTTTACAGTTAATAAGCAAAAAATGTTTTCAAATATTTACTTGTTTATTTACTAAAGGGTCATGTACCAAGTAAGAAAGGTACTTCCAATTAGGGGTGTAACTGAGCCGAACACGAGCGAGCCCAGGCTTAGCTTGTGTTCGGCTCGCGTATTTCGAGCTCAAAGCTTTGCGAGCCGAACACAAGTTGTTCACGAACAAAGAGTCATTTTAACCCTCATCACGTAACCATAAGAAGTTAAGGGTTGGGGCAAGAATTGAAAATTATTATTTATATTAAAATATCATTTGAATCGAATTTAATAATGTTTATTATATTTTCTTAATTAATATTTTTAATTGATTATAAATCTTTGTATCCTTGTGGTCAATCAAAAGGCAAAATTCATTGATATAAAAGAAATGATACAAAGATTTTAATGAGCAGGTACAAAGAACTCACTCACAGGGATTACAACTTACTCAAAAGGAGACATAAACCACACAAAATACCCAAAAATCTAAAAAAAAAAGAAAATAACTCCTAATCATTGTGGGTGTAGTCAGTGTATTTACCGTTTTCCCTTCCCCTGGATCTAGGTAGTGAGTCCAGCAACATACTGAGATGTGGGTTTCTGTCCGAAACTATGAGACAGTCATCCAGAAAATTACTGAGATCTAGCATTATTTTTTTCTTCTTCCTAGATTTGTAAATTTGTCAATCATCTGTTAGAGGTAGTCCCGTCTGAACAATAGGTGGATCTTTGATGGAGAGTTCACCCTGGGGGATATGTTGATCCGTAAACTGCTGATTTGACTCAGCCTGCAGCACACCTTGATCCTGACACTCCTACAGAACTTGAGTACCCTTTTCTCTCGCAATAGGTGGTTAAAAGACACTTTGGCTAGCATCTGCTGCAACAAAATTCGTAGTATTTATGATCTGAGGAAGATTTGTCTTAACAACGGTAGGCAAAAGTTGTTGATCTTGTTGGTGAGGAGTAGCCTTCTGAGTCAGATTTTTATTCAACATTTATGAAAACTTAACAATGTCTGTTATATTTTCCTACACATAGATGATGTTGTTAGGACCTACCGATCTAAAATGTGGGTGAAGTCTGAAACATTTGACAAGGGTGTGCTCAAACAGTTTACAGTGATTGCAATAGTAGGGTATTTGTTCTATAACAGTTGGTTGTCAATACCCATTGTGGGCAGTACCAAGCAATACTTTGTCCACATCAGGCAGTGTGATATCCCTTTCAACAAGAATTCTTGCAACTGAATGTTTAGTAAGATTGAAGGTGAGTGTATCCAATTTCATAGGTCTCCCTAGTGCAGCTCCAATAGAATAGAGGACTTGGTAATTGAAGTAGTGCAACTTTAGGCCAGGTAGTTTAAACCAGATTGGAACTATAGGTGGTTCTTGGCTAGGGTCAAATTTTGGAGACCACATAAGCAGTTTCATATATTTCTCATATATTGTCATAAATTTTTTTGGAAAATATTTTGGCATAGTCTTCCACTTTAGATAATTTTATCATCACATTTCTCCCATTAAAGAGGCCAACTTTCCAAAGTCCCAATAATTTGAGATCTTCAAAAGCCTTTCGAACGATATTCATTTTTAGAATTTCCCGATTAAAACTTCCCAATGAGGGTGATATTGCACTTGTCCACCAGGTTGGAAATTTCAACATCAGAGAAGAATAGAGTTAGTTTGTCACTCTTCCCACACGTCTTCTTGAAAAGGTAGCAGTCCTCATGGCCTTCGAATGATTCATAATGATTCATGATAAACCTGAGATCATGATAAACCTGAGAGAAAACCTGATCCATTGATCCCACAGAGCCAACCATATCAACATAAGAAGCCTTCCCAAGGCTTAAAACTAAAGTAGTCAGTGGTTGAGGAGGAACAAAAGTCATAGAGCTGAGAGTTGAACAACCGGTAGCTCCTGGGTTTGAGTCGTGACTTCAACCGAAGCTCTTTGCTGCTCAATCGCAAAGCAGGGATCAAGCGACACGTCAAAGGAAGGATCGCGGCACTGTGTTATCCACCGCTACCTTCCCAGTGAGCTCGTGAGACGATCCAGAAAATGACGCGATCGAACGAACTATACCGAAGAGCAAAATGAAGCGAACGAGCGAGAGGTTGGGGAACGGCGACTCGATCCCCCACCCTTCTTCTTTGGCAGGAGTCTACGAACCGCTGCGGTTACCCGCATCACCATAGAGTCGCGATTATAAGTGTAAACCCAAGCAGAGCGACACAATGCATGAGTAGTATTTCGAGCCAAAACGAGCTGAACACGAACGAACAAATCTTTGTAGATTTGTTAGTGTTTGTTGGTGTTCGACTCGTTAATTTAGCGAACGAGCCGAACACGAGTTGTTCGCGAACAACAAACCGTTTTGGCAGCCCTACTTCCAATTCCAGTTTCACAAATCCTTCAACAACTTTTGAAGAACTGACTCCTCAAACCTTAATTTCACCACTCGGAAACAAAAATAAATTAATAGCTTTATTCAAAACAATCAACAATTAAAAACCCTAGTTAACAAAAATTAAGCTCACAAATGACGTGAGCTCCCACCAACATATGTAGCATTTTGTTGTGATTCAGGCAGCTGTTTGTCACAGACAAAAAGTCTCACATCGGCTAGGTGTAGGGCCGAAAGCAGTATTTAAGTCCTGGGATGCCCACCACCCCGAAGAGCTCTTTTAGAAGGTGGCAAGTAGTATCAGAGCAGATTACTGTCTGTCAGGTATGTGGACTCTCCATGTCCAGTGGGACCCTTGGTGGAGTTTGGTGGAGTCGATCCGTGACAAGGGCGTCACGTGATTGGGTGGAGGAGAATGTCACGGAAAAAAAGTCCCACATCGGCTAGGTGTAGGACCGAAAAGCAGTATTTAAGTCATAGGCTCCCACCATCCCGAAGAGCTCTTTTGAGAGATGACATGCTGCTCCCGATCTCTTCCTTCATGATCGTGTATTCAGATCTTGTTGCAATGTTCAGTCCCCGTAGTAGAACCATTAATTAGGTTCCTCTAGCAGACTCTTTCAAGCAATGTTCACCTCTGCTTATCTTTTACTTATTCGTGTCTTTGCTGCTATTATTGTGTTTTATTTCCTTGCAAACATTTTTGTGGATTTTGGGTGGATATTCAAGATTTCAGAGGCGACCAAATTTGATTGGATAATTATATATTTATAAATACAAAACCAGGCAAGTAACATTCAGTTTTTGGTTTAAATAAAATTTCCTTCTTTCTCTCGGTTGTCTTTCGGGTGTTAAATTCTTCAAGTCCAGTATAAATGCTACTATCCATTTCTAAAATAAGTCTACTCCTATTTGCATGAAGCATAAACTTATTTATTTGGTGATGTCTTACCTTATTCTTTCTCGCCTTCATAATTTATTATTGATTTTACATTCATGGTTATTTTAGTTAGAACTTCAACAGCTGAATTTTCTGACTGCGACATGAAAATTAGTTGTGAAGCATTTCATTCAATAGTTTTAAATTTCTTATAAATTTTCTTCAAGTAAGACCATAACTAAATTGTCATTTGAGAATAATTCTTCTAATTCTTTGGAAACCAAGATATTGTTTTAATTGATGGTATTTAAACCATGAATTCTACTAAATTCTGGTTGAATTTCATCCATTGCATCATTTACTTGTATCAAAAATTCTAGACCATATGGCATTCTATATCAAATTTGGTATTAACAACCATGCGTGCAGTATTTTCTCAGCCAGAAGGATACAATAACTCGATTAATTAATAAAATAACAAAAGATAAGAGGTAAGCAAAATTAAACTAAATTACAGTTCAAATAAATAATGATATGTCATAATAAGATTTAAAATTATATGTCTATATTGGATGAGATAATTTTAGAAAATTTTCAATTTGGGCCAATAATTCAAAAGATTTTTTGAAAATTATAATATGACTAATTCTTAAAAGATTGGCGCTAGAATACAATCACAGTTTATGATTATTGCATTTGCAATTAATATTTTTAAGAAAAATCAACACCATCTCCTTTGAACGCGTCATATAAACAGAACACAAGAACCATGTATTAATGATACTGGCCTCTATCAAAAAAATAAAGCTCACAAATATTCTTTTAAGGATTATTACTCAGAAAACATGACTTTTAAATATAATTATTAATTAAAATTGTGCAATTTGAGGCCCACCATGGAGTGAGGCATATGCAAAGTGTCTTGAGGCTTACACCACAATGGGAAAAAGTGGCGAACACCTCTACGGTTTGAGGAGCATGATGAGCATGCCTTAAGGCTCAAGTAATGAGGTGTACACAAATAATGTATGGTTTGCATTTGGAAATTAGAGGATGATGAAAATCCATTGTTTACCTATGTCTGCCCTCGAATGACGAAAGGGTTTTGGAGAATGTGAATGGGCTTTTGCTGTGATAATTATAGAAAGAAGATCTTCATTTTAATTTTTTTAAAAGAAGAAAGCAAAAAAAAAAAGTAAACAAAAAGGTAACATAATAGGCTAACATAAAACTTTATATAGAATAAAATAAAAAAAGGCAATATAGTCATTGTTTGAAAAAAATTATAGAAATTTAATGAATAAGGAATATGATTCAGTTGAAGATGATGAAGAAGATTTTGAAGATGTTGACAGGTGAGAATGACGGAGGTGAGAAAGCAATTTATTTATTTTAATGTTAATTCTTAATGATGAATGACTAAAAAGAAATATAAAAGTTAAAACTCCATCTATAAAATTTATTAATGATGAATGATTAAAAGAAATATAAAAGTTAAAACTCCATCTATCTTGTTAAATTAAGAAATGCATGATTCATTACAGCAATCATTTAAGCCCCTTTAGTTAAATTTCATTTAATGAGGTTGTTTATCTTTATAAGCATACCATGTTGTTGTTGTTGTTGTTTGTCTGCTTTCATCATCTCACCCTTTTAGAAATTATATATATATATATAAAGCCCAAAAAAGGCTAATATATTAACCAGAAAGAAAGATACAGATACAATGTGTTGGAGGGCCCAAACATGGCACCCTACCAACATCAAAACCACAAGGGGTTCCAAAACTAGAAAATACATAAAAGTACATTAGAGACATAAAGAAAATGTTCAAAAATGTTGAAATACATAGTATCAAGTGGCTAGAGAGCAACCCAATTTGGTTTTGACTCTGTCTCTAGTTCTGGGGAAGAAGCAAGCTAATAAGTTGGTAAGAAAATTGTCATTCCCAGTAGTAACCAATGTATCATCTAAAATGTTCCCGAGCTAGAGTCGGCCTCCAATCTTTTTGTTCCTCCTGGAATAGACTTGTCATTCCTCTTCCGAGGATTGGCTCACCTGATCTTGTTATAAAGTGTGTTAGAGATGTGCAGATTGTTGAACATTAGAAGCAACTACATGTTGTACCGGCTGATCTGTTATTGGATCAAAAGAGCCTTCTCGTGTTTCTTGGCATGTATGTGAGTTTTCTTCAATAACAGTGAGTAGTATAAGCACAACTGGATCTGTAGCTGTAGTATGTTGTTCTTCTTCAGAAATTGTGGTGTTGGGAAAAGGATCGGGTTGCATCTTCTCAACAGGGACAATAGGTGGTTGTTCTTTATCAATATTCGTTCTTTATCGATATTCGGCCTTAGATGAGGATGCAAACGATAGCAAATAGTAAAGTTGTGGCCAAACATACTACAATAAGAGCAATAAGGAGGGTGTGATTCAATTTTCACTTTTTGTCAATACCCGTTATGAGTTGTTCCAATCCACAACCTCATCCGGAGCTGGTTCAGTGATATCCCTCTCAACTAACACACAAACCACAGAGGGTCTGGTGACAGCAAACGTAGGACTATCAACCCTGAGATGCTTACCGTAAGCAATTGCTAAGGAGTAGAGAATTTCCAACTTGAACAGATGTAATTTTAACCCCAGGAATTTAATTCAGACTGAAATGATAGGGGACTCCGCTTTTGGGTCGAAACTAACAGTCCACTTCAGAATTTTCATATAATGGTTGTCGATCTTGATAACTTTTCGAGAAAAAATGCGAGTGTAATCGACATCATGAGACAACTGAATCAGTATGTGTCGACCGTCAAGTAAACCAATATTCCAACTGTCCAATAGCTTCATAGCCTCAAAATCTTTCCGAATGATCTCCAGTTTTGGGTGACCATACAAAAATTTTCCTACTAGAGCAAAACGCCAGGAGGACGCGAGAGTATTGGTTTCAACCTCTGTGAGAATAAGAGCAGGCTTCCCATTTTTTTCCTAATTTTTTTATGACGGTGTGATCGCCACCACCTTCAAAAGCTTCGTGAAAAGATTGAGGAACATTGCAGGACTTACCAATATGAAAACCAGCCTCTGAACCTGAAAGGGAAGCACGAGTAAGAATAAGAATGTCGTCGGCAAGTGCAGTGGCATAAGAGCAGATCGTGGATGACATCTCCAAAGCAGCTAGGGAGCCGTTGGACACTGGAAATAGGCGAGCAAAACTATCGCCTACGAACGACGCGAGCAGTCGAACAGGTCGATGCGGCGTATCAGCCTCGACAAAGAAGAGCCGCAGACGACGAAGGCTGCGATTTCGTCGAGGCACGACGAAGGACGTGGAAACGACGCAGCAGACGGAGTCGCGAAGCCGAGGGAGGCGAAGTCGAAGAAGATGGAGTCGAGCAGACGAATTCAATGCAGACGAATTCGAGGCAGACAAAACGTGAAGAAGGAAACGACGAAGTCGAGCAGACGACAAAGTATGACAAAGGAGCAGGCTGCGATTTCGATCCGGCGAAGAGATAACAAGGGCTGCTCGGGTTGCCATGAAGGCGCGACGGGAGTAAACCCTAGCAGAGACATCGCGAATGTTTATATATATATATATATATATATATATATTAGTCTTTTGCAAGATTTGTATGGAGAAATTTGCAAAAAATTGATAATTAATTATAATAATTATAAAAATTATGTTAATCTGAATATAAGGGACATAGAATTCAAATCAAGTAATAAGGTGATGATATAATGAAATCTTGAATGTTTCTTGTAGCAACCCATAAGTATTGAATGCTAAATATGCAGTGTCATTTAAAATCATAAAATGTATTGGGGAAAACGCTTAAAAATTGAAAAATCCAAGAAAACTAGATATTAGTTAAATTGCACTGTATTTATTTCGACTTTATTTCATAAATTTAGTATCAACAACTTGAATCTGCTCTTTTTCTATCTCCTTCTTTATGAATTTCTTTATTATGAATTTGCATCCAATCTTTTTCTAGACAGTTATGTCATATTTTTTAAGCTGTCCTAAATGATGAAATTATACACGCCACCAATGGAAGCACAACAATTATACCATGGTATGCTTGACTAATATCACTAATCAAATTATCAGGGCGAAATATTTCAAATCAAGCAAATTGATGAAGAATCCCTACAACTACTGTACCAACATGAGATCAGTTTTCATGGGATTCTAGTTACTATTTCTCAAGATTGTTGCCTTCATGATTGCATATTAAGTTCATATTTCAGTGTTCAATCCCATTACCAAAACCAATATTAGGTTCCTACAATGCAATTCCTTCACGTAGTGTTCTCTAGTGATCATCTTCTGCCCACCCATGTTGTCCTTCGTTGCTATTATCACGCCTTGACAATGCAAGGTTTTACAGTTTTAAGCTATGACTCTTGATTTTTAAGGAGGCCAACTTTGACCAAGGAATTTGATATCAATAAATAAAAAACACGAGGGATGCACTATTCAATTTTTGGCTTGATAAATTTTTTAGTTTCTCTTAGTTTTGTGATTATTGGGATCACACATTAGTGCAATGCAAATGCAACTATTTAATTTTTTTGAGAAAACCTTCTCCTTAAACCAAGGCAAAGCTCAACTTCTTTATTTAGTGATTTATTACCTTAAAATTTTGTTTTCATGATTTGTAATGGGTTTATAAGCGTAATTGATTTTATTCAAACAACAACAGCAACAAGCCCTTACCACTAAGTGAGGTTGGCTACACGAATCTTTTTTCTCCATTGTGTCCTATTAAGTGTCATATTTACGTTTAGTTGTAATAAATTAAGATCATTTTTATACAGCATACCCATTTCTTTTTAGGTCTGTCTCTACCTTTCTTAACATAAGTCAAATCTAAAACAACTACTCCCCTAATTGTGCCATCGGATGATCAACGTTTAACATGACCAAACAAGCTAAGGCGACTCTCTCTCTCTGATAATGTCTTCCACTGGAGCTACTCTAACCCTTTCACGGATATATTCATTTCACATTTTGTATATTCATTCATTTCACATTTTGTTTCTAAGTGTAAAGTCACTCATCCACCTAAGTATTCTCATCTTAGCAATACTTAATTTCATGCTTCTCTTTTATAGACCAACATTCTGTGTCATTAAGCATTGCAGGCCTCACCACCTTATAAAATTTTCCTTTAAGTTTAAGTGGTCCTTTTCTATCACACAATACTCTGATGCATTCCTCCACTTCAACCATCAAACTTTAATCCTGCTAATAACATCATACTCGAAGTCACCATCACTTTGAACAACAGACCCGATATATATAAAATGTTTGCTCCTTTTAATAACTTGATCACCAATTGTTACAACCCCTCAACTAGATTTACTACTACTAAAATTACATTCCATACATTCAGCTCTATATCTACTCAAACAAAAACCTTTAGACTCTAAAGTTAACCTCCATAATTCAAATTTTTCATGAACTCTTCATCTAGTCTTATCACTAAGAAGGATATCATCAGCAAAAAGCATATAACAAGATAAATCCTCCAGTAAATATTTGATAAGAGCATATATATCTAAAGTAAAGAAATATGGGCTTAAAGTCGATTCCTAATGCAATCCAACTGAAATAGAAAAATAGTGATCAATCCCCCTTGTGTTCGATACACCTCTAATATACATTTCTTCAATAACATGAATGTAAGTAATATCAACACATTTCTTTTCTAGAACTTTCTAAAGTACTTCACTTGTAATCTTATTATAAGTTTTTTTCTCTATCAAAGCATGTTTTTTGTAGTTTCAAACTCTGTTGGAATTTCCTTAAACTAGATTATCAATGAATAGTTATTTCAAACAAATTTTTTAAGTTTTCTAAATCCAAGCCTGTTTTCGTTGTTTCAAAACTCTCCTGGAATTTCTTTAAACTAGACTATCATTGAATAACTATTTCAAATAATTTTTTACAAGTTTTCTAGCGTATGTTAAAAAAAGTGTGATTGTTTTAAATTATAGTCTTTAAACCATGAATCATAAATATTGGCTGCTTGAATTTCACCCATTGTATCATTTAGTTACAGCAAGAATTCTAGACTCTAAGATGTCTTGTATAATCAAAATCACTTCTCATGTAAAAAATGGAATGGCAGTGCTCATCCAAACGAATATACATATTGAAGAAGTTTACCTCAAACGATGCCTGTTGCAGGTTGTGAAAAAAGCAACAAAGCCATATAGGATGCTACGAAGTGCACGAAAAATCTGGAAAAATAACAATTATCATACCAAGATCAGATATCAATAATGAATGGGGACAATATCAGACAGTTGCTATAATCAAACACAACTAACCTGAGAAAAAAGATCATTCCAAAGTGATCGCCACATGGAAGCTTCAGAGGTAACTTCTGTTGCTTGAATTGCTGTTGAAAACTGGAATAAAGTACACATGGATGACCAGGTGTCTCTCATGAGAAAATAGAGATTGCAAGAAATCATCACTATGAAATTGACCATTCCAGAGATCAAGCGAACAGGAGCTATGAAAATCTCCCAAAAAATCCAAACCATAGGACATATGATCAAACTTGCTGCAATATTAAATAAATTCATAATAAATTTAAAATGGGTGAAAAAAAAGGAAAACATAAAGGTAAGGTAGAAGATGAAAGAAAGAATCGAATCAGTTAAAATCAAACCAAAACTTGATATGGTGCTACAGAGAAGCCAGAATGGCCACAGTATCATCTGCAGCAAGGCAGAAATCACATGGTATGAAGACTCCAATAAATCCCAAATTACTAAGCCAAGGCCCTCAATAGTTTCAAGACATATATTCCAAATGGGAATGCCTAATTCCAAGAGCTCAATTAGAGGTGCAGCAATAGGCCTAGTTAAAATTGAAACAAAAGATCTTGCTGCTCTCGTGGCCATAAGAAACCATTTAATGGCTTTCTCAAAGTTATGAAGAAATAGCATGGTTCCCAAATATTTAAGTCTGGAAATCATTTCCCAGGACTCTATCCAGTTAAACAAAGGCCCAAACAAGCCAGAGGCAGTTGCCTTTAACAGTGGAACATTCTTATATAAGTCATAGAATCCAATAACAACAGTGACCACAGAAATAATGACATACAAAGCTCTCGCAAGAGGGCACATCCATGGGCGGTATATCTTGCAGAATACAGGGTATGATTGGAAGAAAATAACCCAGGAAGGAAGACCATACTCCAGCAGAGTGAGAAGCCTTAAATCGGGCATTATTATATCTTTCAACTTAAATGGAAGATCATGATCATTAAATTTGAAGAGAATCAAACCATCCTTGTATGTGGTTGGCTCAATATTTAACCCCACATAATCACAGTTGGGACTATGGGGTTTTAATGCAGAACTTGAACAGCAAATAACTTCATCATATGCCTCAGTCATTTCATCAACTTCATCACCTACTTTCATGATCTTTCTCTTCTTATAAGGCCCAAAAGCCGGTGGGGTATAAGTATAGTTGGTTGTGTCATGATTATCAAGACAAGAAGAATCAAAAAAACGATAATAGGAAAGTTTATCATCTTGAATTTCAACATCATTTGAATTATGAATGGAAAAGGATGAAATATCTTCCTGTGCGTCATAAAAGACATCCCCTGTAAAATAATTATGTTCAGCAAAAATAAAAAATAGAAAGTTTCAATTGAATGTATTTGTTGCTGAACATACCAATATTACCAACATCAGCAAGATGGTCCTGTAATATAACTCTTTCATAGTTGGTCCCTGAATGCCATGAAGATATGCAGTTCAAAGCATGTTCAATGCTATCAAATTCCCATCTTTTCATTAGCTTGACCTCTAATGCCATACAAGTATCAGTCTAGAAAGATATAAGAATAATGTTAGAAGGAAGAACTCTGAACATAATAAACAGCAAACTAAATTTCTGTGGAAACAAAATCATAATACAACGCCAATACCTGCAGCTCATTTAAATAATTAATACCACGCACATGATTCCATGCCACTTCAAAGACTATAAAGCCATATAAGATATGCTGCAGCTCTTTATTCAAGCAGATAGACTCCTTAAGTTTCTCAACAGGTAGCAGTACTCTCTTTTGATACGTTGCTGCATCAATCAATGTGAACCACCTATGTATTCTTCTTAGTTTCATGGGTATGAATCTGTGGTTGTTTGGAAAATCAAGTTTCCTCACACTAATTTTTCGCTCCCTCTTTGACCTTGTGTTTGCAAAAGGAGATAACCTTGACTGAGAAGAAGACATATTAAATAAAATATAACACCCAAAACAAAATTCTTGAAAGAAATGTAATGAAAAACCTTGGTGACCATCAGTTGCCATAGGTAAGCAGTCCTCTTATCTTTGTCAATCAACCATGGTCTATTGTCAACCAGGACCAAAAAATTTTTACTTTCAGGAGGAAGAAAGAGAGTCAAGGTTGAAAGATAAGACTGCATATCCCTGCATGAACGAAAAAACAAGGCCAAATACAGTTAGAGATTTAATTAAGCTTAGCATGTGGCTTATAAATCAGCATTCCTACAACATTTACATATCAGACCCAGTGGAAGGGGCCAAAAGACATGAAACAGTAATCAATTATCACATAAATACTTGCTTCAGGTTTGGTAGTTACTAATTACGCAACTTCTTAATGAAATAATTTTAGATGATCTTTTTAAATTTAGAAAACCCTAATCAGCGATCAAGTCAACGAAATTTTTTTTTCTCTTTAAATCTATTAAGTAAATATCTAAAAGCTAAATCTATAGCTTGCAAAAACAAAATAAAGTTCAAGCGGACTCAAACTGCTATCTGCAAGCTCAATACTCCCTCGCCAATTTAGTTCCTAAAATTTCACCCCTAACTCTTTTCCTCAAAAAAATTGCTTGATCATTGTTTCTGCTACACCAACTTAGGCTCACTCTATCACAGACTAGAATGCAACTTCTCGACATTGACACCCTCACTTGATTCAACTTTGCTCCATCATTGACTTGTTAGATGCATATTGTCCATGCCGACTCACCAACCTGTACTTCTCACTTTACCCGGCCACAAGCATGCTCACAATGCCTCTATGTTGTTTCTTTTCTGAAAGAGTACTAGGTGTAGATTCGTTGTCAGCACCTCTCAACTGAATGCTTGATTGTCAGCTTCTTCACCAATGTTTATGTTTGTGCTTCTAGATTTTGGATATGAATACGAGTGAAATGATTATGAACATCAAAATTTTAAATTCCATCCAATATTTTTTTACATATTCAATTTTTAATCATGAAATATTTCATATACAAAATTCCAGGGATATGCCCTATGTCTCAAAGTTTATTCCTCGTCCTATGATAGATAAATGCCCATGCCTTATGCCTCATCCACCTTCGAAACATAAAACAATGATTCCCCCATAACAATTTTTAAATTTTCAAAATTTATTAGATTTTGTTTACATTTATGCAACATTAATCATTTGTCTATAAATGTTAAATAAAATTCCCAAAGCATATGTTTTGTGCTTCAAATGTTGCTCTTTGCTTTGGCAAAGATCGAACACTTTGTGCTTTCATCACCCAACATTATTCACAATCATATTGCATGTCATGCATGGTTATTTCTAGTTTCCCACTGGTGCCTTCAACAGAGCATGTGCACTGTACCCAATAGTAAAAAGAAGTGAGAGATTGAACTCATTCCTAGATTGTAGAAGGCTGATGAAGCATCAACATGAAACCACATACTAAAATAAATAAAAAAATCAAGATTCTTCTATCACCAACCCAAATAATCGTAAAACATCAATGAATTAAAAAAATAACAATGCGTCATACAAATTTGATAGAGAACTACATACATATGACAAGGCTAGAAGAGTTGTCAAATCATGACATGAGAGAGTACAAAGGAATAGATTGAAAATAAAATGAAGAGAAGCTACTGTTAAACATAGTTAAATATCAAACTTAAATGCTAAAGCTCCCAAACAAATAACAATTAACTTCATATGTAACACAAAACATCATTATGCAGCTCATCTAGATGGCTAGAGATAGCTTAAACAAAGCATTGGGGTGCTAGTGCAAATAAGGAGAGGCCCATTTTTCCTACTAGACTGACATTAAGCGAAATATATCAATACTAAGACTGCATATATCTAATATCAAATTGATCCAACCTTAGCTCAAGATCTGCAAATTGAAAGGGAATAAGCCAAAAATTATATATTTCATTCAGCATGCGTGTTTAAATAGGGGTTAATACGTTCTACAAATAAACCTAATAAAACCCTCTTATTAAACATAACTCTCAACACTCCCCCCTCAAGATGGGCAAAAGATATTCAATAAGCCCATCTTATCACATAATCTAACTAACACCACTGAACTAAGCCTTTTAGTGAGACAGTCAACCTTCTTCTCTCCAGTAGCTACATGACTTAGTTTCAATAATCTGTTATTCAGCTTCTCCTTGATGAAGAATCTATCAATCTCCACATATTTGGTCCTATCATCTTGCACCAGTTGTTAGCAATGTTGATTGTCGACTTGTTGTCACACCACAACTTCATTTGGGTTCCCAGATCCACTCTGAGTTCAACCAACAAAGTTTTCAGCAACATCATCTCTGCAACTCCTAATGTCATGGATCTGTGTTTTGCCTCTATTGTTGATCTTGATACAACTGGTTGTTTCTTGCTCTTCCTCGAGACCAAGTTATCACCTATAAATATGCAGTAATCTAATGTGGATTGTCTGTCATCAGTACAACTTACTCAGTCAGAATCACAAAAGCCCTCAATATCTACATGCACATTCTTCTTGAATATCAATCATTTCTCAAGTGCACTCTTCAAATGCCTCAGAATCTCATACAATGCACCCATATGACCCTTCCTTGAATCATGTATGTAGCGGCTCACCACACTTACTACAAATGAAATATCGGGTCGAGTGTAACACAAATGGATCAGGTGGCCCACCAACCTATGGTACTGCACCATCGCATACCTGTCTCCGTGAAAATATCTAATACATAGTTTCATTGGGATAGGACCATCCCCTCAAGTCCATGAGCAACTTCAATCCCAAGAAGATATCTGAGTTGTCACGGATACTTCAAATTGTTTCCCCAATGTTCTCTTCAATTGAGCAATCTCGGTCTCATCATCACTAGTGATAATTATGTCATCCACATACACAACAAGTATGGTAGTGTGATCCTCATGTTGTTGAAAGAACACTGTGTTATCTTTATTGATCTGCTGATATATCATGTCAACCATTGACATTCTAAACTTATCAAACTAGGCTCAAGGAGTCTGTTCTAAGTCATACAGTGACTTCCTGAGCCTACACACCTTACCCACTGTATGGGATGTATTGAATCTGGGTGGTATCTCCATATATACCTCCTCCAGTAGCTCTCTATAAAGAAAAGCATAATTCACATCCAATTGGTGGAACCTCTATCTACCATTCACAGTCAGAGAGTCCTTACCATGCTCATCTTTGCTACTGGTGAGAAATAATATCGTAGTTAATGTAATACGTCTGACTGTACTCTTTTTTCACTAGTCATGCTTTGTACTTCTCCGCATTATCTTTTGGAGTTTGTTTTACTGTGCAAATCCACTTGCATCAAACTTCCTTCTTCGTTGCTGGTACTGGTACGATCTCCCATGTTCAATTTTTATCAGGAGTTGTAAGCTCTTCATGCATCACCGCTATCCACTTGGGATCCTTTTTATCAACCTAAGAACACTTTACTCTAGAAACAGAGTTCAATGATGCAATGAATACTCCATGAAAATGTGAGATGTTAGAATAAGAAATAAAGTTCGCAATGTCAAGTTCCCACCCAAAACGATCAGAATGATGTCTCGTATGGCTGCGAGAGATTCTCTTTAACGTTGGGGGTAGAAGTGGACAGATGAGGAATAATATCACCTAGGAGCTTTGAATCAAAGGTGGATGGTGCAGGTGTCTCAAAAGTTGGGGAAGGTCGAGACAAGGAACTTGTTGGCACTACAGACTCTGTTCCCTCGATTTGTTTTTCCCTCTGAATATACACCCTTAGCTCACCTTTAGCATAAATCCCTCCAACTCTGGGGTCAGTCTTCACGATTTTTGTCTCCTTAAATGATTCATCCCACATCACAGGACATGGCACTGCTCCCACTTGTATCACTTCATCACCGCTACTACTCACTTTCTTCTGCCTCATATCGTCGATGTCTGCTAAGTCACCGAAAGTGAATTCACCTATAGAGTGTAATATGGTTCAAACTCTCTGAGTGACACATTAATACTCACAAAGAGTTTATGCTCAATCATGTTGGGTAATGTGGAGGCCCGGTCCTCCACAATTTAATTAACTTCCTAATTAAGAATCTCACCAGCGCTCACCTACTTTCACACTTACCGCTCACCTACGTCTCACATACCGCTCTCATGATTTCAAAAAATAGCCTCTTTTGGCTTAAAGGAGAAGTCAAGCCAAGCAAAAGCCAAAAGCCAAGCAATATCAAGTCAAGTCCTCTTGAGAGCTAAGAGAAAGAGATGAAGAGAGAGAGAGAAAGAGTGAGAAGAAAATTAATATTTTCTTGTAACATCGAGGTGCTCAACGGTGTAATTTCTCAAAGAAATAAAATCCTCTGCAGCTCCGTGGATATAGGCAAATTTGTCGAACCACGTAAATTTGTGTTCGCTCTGGTGTTTTTTTTCTGTGTCCAATTTCACTCGTTCCATTTTTTTGTTTTATTGTAGTCATTTTTCACAACAATTGGTATCAGGGTTTGTGTTCAAATCTAAGGAAGAACAATGGGTGATATAGGGGATCGAGAAGTTCAATGGCACAAATTTTGTTTATTGGAGGATGCAGATAGATGACTACCTCTATGGGAAGAAACTTCATCTTCCGTTACTAAAAAAATGACCAAAAAAGATGAATGAGGCGGAATGAAAACAATTGGATCAATAGGTTCTGGGGTTATACGATTAACGATTACCCCTGTCAAGATCGGTTGCCCACAACGTCATCAAGGAAATGACTGCTGCAGATCTCATGGCAGCTTTATCAGGTATTTTTGAGAAGCCATCGGCGAATAACAAGATATATCTGATGAATAAGTTTATCAATCTGAAGATGACGGAAGGTACGTCTGTTGTACAACACCTAAATGATTTCAATACTATCACAAATCAATTATCAAATTGATTTTGATGATGAGATACGTGCGTTGATATTGTTGGCTTCATTGTCAAATAACTGGGAAGCCATGAGGATGACAGTTAGTAGTTCTGCAGGTAAATCTAAGCTGAAATATGATGATATTCGTGATTTGATTTTGGCTGAGGAGGTGCGCAGAAAGAATTCCGGTGAGGCCTCGTGTTCAAGTTCAGCGCTGAATGTTGATTCCAGAGAGAGATCACATGACAGAAACTCAAACAAAAGAAGATCAAAATTAAAGTCTGATCAGCAGGCAACCTGCTGGAATTGTGGCAAGACTAGCCACATAAAAATGAACTACATGAATCCTAAAAGGAAGTAGAATGATGACGCTAATGTTGTAACTGAAGAAATACATAATGCATTATTGCTGGCAGTTCACAGATCTGTTGATGACTAGAAATTGGATTCAGGGGCTTCCTTCCATACATCTTCCCGTCGAGAGTTAATGTGAAATTATGTTGCAGGTAACTTTGGAAAGATATATCTAACTGATGGAAAAGCTCTGAATGTTGTGGGGATGGAAGACGTTGATATTGCACTCCCTAACAAGAGCAAATGGACTTTGCAAATGGTCAAACACGTTCCTGAGTTGAAAAAAAAAAACCTCATCTCTATTGGGCAGCTCCATAATGGTGGTCATTCGGTAGTGTTCTCAAATGACACCTGGAATGTTACCAAATGAGCATTAGTACTGGCTCAGGGTAAGAAAACTGACACACTATATATGACTACATGTTTACTCATGCGATGACATATGAGTCAAAGATGTATTATGAGAAAGCTGAAGAAGGTTAATTTCCTAAAAAGTGGTAGAGCGTCAAAGGCAGGAAAATCAAAATTTGTACAGACAAATGGTGGAGAACCACAGAGTTATGAAGAAATCTTGCAAGATGAGAATTCGAGCAAGTGGGAGCTGACCAAGAAGAAAGAAACGGATTCTCTGCCAGAGAATCAGACTTGGGAGCTGGCAGAACTTCCACCAAGGAGAAGACATTGCGCAACAAGTAGGTGTACCGAGTGAAGAATGTGTTTAGTGACAGTAAGAGGTATAAGGCTGGACTTGTTGAAAAGAGCTTTCAACAGGGGCAGGATATTACTCATGTAGTGCGACTCATGTAGTGCGAGTTATAAGCAGATACAGGAGTAACCCAGGAAAGACCTTGGTGGTACAAGGCTACGTTGACGGTGATATGTCAACTGAGGATGTTACTCATAAGAAGTTGAAGTTATGCTCAACTTCAACTGGTATTCTGGCATGAAGACAGGGGATTCGAGTTGCAGAGGTGAGGGATATCATATTTGAGAAAAAAGTTAGTACAACTAGTAGATGATGCAGTCAGTAGGTGATACAATCAGTGTCCCAGTCTCCAAGTGGGGTAATGTGGAGACCCGGTCTACCACAATTTAATTAGCTTCCTAATTAAAAATCTCACTGACTGCTCACCTACTTTCCCACATACCGCTCACTTACTTCCCACCTACCGCTCTCATGGTTTTTATAAATAGTCTATTTTAGCTTAAAGGAGAAGTCAAGTCAAGCCAAGCAAAAGCCACAAGATAAGCAAAAGCCAAAAGTCAAGCAAGGCAAAGTCAAGTCTTCTTGAGATATAAGAGAAAGAGAGGAAAAGAGAGAGGAAGAGAGAAAAGAAAATAGCGATTTTCTTGTAATGTTTAGGCGTTTGATGGTGTAATTCCTTGAAGAAATAAAATCCTCTGCAGCTCCGTGGACGTAGACAAATTTGTCGAACCACATAAATTTATGTATCGCTCTGATATTTTTTTCTGCGTGCAATTTTACTCGTTTCATTTTTTATTTTATTGTCGTCATTTTTCACAACAGACACAACCCTTCTGAGTAGTAGAATAACCCACGAATACACATTTCACAGCTCTGAGATCCAACTTTCCTACAGATGGTATGTTTTCTTTCACAAAACAAACACATTCAAATACCTTCAATGGAAGGATCCACTATTTGCTCCTTTCAACATCTGACAAATGGACTTCTACTCCAGTATTCTTGAGGACGAGCATCATGTTAATCAACTGAACTGCTATCAACACTCCTTACCCCATAAGTGATGTGGGACATTCATTGTCATCATCATGTTCTGGGCTACGTCTAGAAGATGTTGATTCTTTCTCTCTGCTACTTCATGTTGTGCTGGTGAGTATGTGCATGTGGTTTGGTGTTGTATATCTTGGGCTGACAGGTAGACCTTAAATGCTTTGTTGATATATTTTGTCTCATTATTAAATCTCAGCGTCTTCACAACTGCCCATATTGGGTCTGGATTGCTTCGTTGAAATCTTTAAAGCAAGCAGCTACCTCACACTTCTATTTAATCAAGCATATCCAGATAACACAAGAAAAACAATCAATAAACGTAACAATATAATGACAATCATTAATAGAATTAGTAGGACAATGGCCCATACTTCTTAATGTATCAAATCAAATACATCAGAGCTCCTTTTCCCATAACTAACATATCAGCTCCTAGTGAGCTTGCCAAACTCACAAGCATCAGATATCTATTCCCTACTAAAGTCGCCTCAATCCGACATGACCAACTCAGATAAGTGGCCAGTCCATCAAACTTCAAAGGGAGATCCAGCTTCACTGTCATCGAAGTTGTGTTGGAGTCGCGGTTCCTGCCAAGCACTAGCTCCCTGTATTAGCCCTAAAAGGACCTTCAGGACCTCAGGATCAATCCTTCCCAGAAGATTCAATCCTTTACTCCCGACACCATCTCCATCTCCCGTCATCTTCAATCACCTAGACTCTCTTCTAGATCATACAAACCATGAACAATTCCCTTCCTCCTTTAGACTTGATTTTGATATATATCATCATCAAGATTGGGTTCTTCTTTGTGCGGCGGATTGGAAAGGAGGCGGCGACAGCGTCCTGCAAAGGCGACGACGGCGGCCTGCAAAGGCGACGACGGCGACCTGCAAAGGAGGCAGCAGCGGCCTGGAAAGGAGGCTACGCGGCGGCGGACTGGATAAACGATTGTGACTGCCTAGTCAGACGGCGGCAACGGCGGCCTAGAGGGTGGAAGTCGGGAGGGCGACGAACTCGAGGGCGGCAACCTGAAGGGCAACGGCTTAGAAGGCGACGGTTGGCGTCGTACGCAACCGCACATTTAAGCTGTCCCAAACGGGGCCTAACTTTGTATGTCGCGGATAGAAGCACGAGTTGTGGGCCCTGAAGAACGGGAGCGGCGATCGATGCAAACAGCAAGCGCGGGATGCGATCGATGCGGGCGGCTAGGATTGGCTCTGATACGAAATTGAAAGTGAATAAGCCAAAAATTCTCTATTTCATTTAGTATATTTGTTTAAATAGGGGTTACAATGTTTTACAAATAAATCTGATAAAACCCTCTTATTATACATAACTCTCAACATTGCACTAATTCAATTGGTTCGTTATCAAATGGAGCCGAGCCTAGCTCCTCAAATTTGGTCCAAACTTGATTATGGACACCAAAAGTTCAGTTATTTTCTAAAAAAAATAGTCTAGCTTGCATGTAGTGTGAAGACAAACATCTATTGACTCAGTTAATAATGACCTTTAAAAGTTGTTTGGGTTATGGGATTGAATCTCACAAACATCAAAAAATATTTTCCTCTATGTCGATGCGTACATTACATATACACACAAATACTCACTCGCATACCTACATATTAATATCATCTTGAATTAACTCATGGTTATCTATATGCAAATATCAAAGCTATTTGATCCAGTCTCACTTGTTGATTTCTTAAATTCAATTTGAGAACAAATCAAGCCAAGGATAGATCCTTTTCTTTTACATTCTTTGATCTTCAAGTCACATTTATGGCTCAAGATTGTAACATTATGTTAGGACAAAACTTATTGGAAAAGTATGACAAAAGCATGAGTGCCATTGGAGCAAATAGTACATGAAGGAAATAAGAAAATTAGAACAAGGGTAATAAAGTGAATGTAGAGTTATCAACAACCAATATAGCAAAAGGAAGAGCAAAAGAGGAATCAAAAGAAAAGGAGGGAAGCGTAAAGGAAAGAGTACGGGAAAAAAAACATATAGTATTCATCAATTTAGCTAGGAAAATTATCTATGCAGGAAAAACAAATCTGTTTTGGACGTCAGCTACCAGAGCAAGGGTCCCTCTTTTTGAAGTAAACTGGGAGGAATTAGAATTTTCATGCACACAACTCATTTTTTGTGCGAATAGACGTTAGACAAGTTACTGACCACCATCGACAAACAAGCGACATACGTCCAGAACACAACCGAATAGCGCTCCTAAATATCCCATTAAAAACAGAGATGAGGTTCAATAAGTATCCCAAATTCAATCCATTTCTTAATTTATGCTCAGCTTTAAACCGGCACAGAGTTCGATTAAGGTTCTAAAGAAGAAGGATATGAAGAACAATGGAAACAAGTCTTCATATCCTCCTTCTTTTTCTCAAATAACAACTAAAACTCCCATCCCCAAAATCTTTCAAACTCTCCGATAAGAATTATCAACACGCAAAACAAAGAAAAAAAAACCACCAATTCCAAGCTTACTTACCCAATCTGCAAACTCGTTAGAGGAAAAAAATGCCGATCACCGCAGCTTCCCATTGCATCACAAACGCACACCAACCATAGTCTTGCGAAAACAGCAACTGAAGTCCAAATTCAATCGAAAAAGTACAAAACAGGGATAATAGAAACACATAATAAAGACGGCAAACAAAGTACCCTCCTCAATTCTAGAAACCTCAAATCAAGCCGAAGAAGTTAATTCATACAGAGGTAGAGCCAATTAAACTCCCTCCTCGCTCTCCCCCACTCCAGAGGCTCTCAATTTCTACACCATCCCACAGGTCAAAAGTGCATGGAATTGCTTGGCTTGCAAGGCGGGGGGTTTAAACGATACCACTCGTCTCCGACACGTCGCAAGGGTGTCGTCAAACGAAATCTGTCACAATCCTTACCAAAATGACAATCCGATATCACAATCTCAACCTCCCTCTCCCAAGATCTGCGCCCGAGCGAGAATTAGGGCATCCCAATTGGACATGCAAGGAACACAGAACTCGAAGAAGATATAGACTGGAGTGAAGATAGTCTCGTGAGAAACCGGAGTTGATTCGGGAAGAAGACAGAAAATGCGTTCGGCTTCGCCGTCGCGGGATGGAAAGCGGCGGAATGGAAGGCGGTGGGATCAAGTGACTGCCGTAGAACACGAAACAGCTTAAGCAAGCCCACTGATTCAAATTAAAAAAAAAAAATTTATGTATATATGCATTTATTTATATATATAAATGACGGACGGGGGCTTGGCTTATTTGGGATGTGCAGAAAAGCGGGGGACGCGTATAATGTGTGGGACCCACGAAGCAGATGCGCCTGAGGATTGGTTATCCAGGCTGGTGATGGTTCACGATAGCGTCGTTTGATCCCGATGTGATGCGGAGAATAAAATCGCGATTTATTATATTGCGGGGCGGGCCTCCCGATAAGTTGTTAATTTAGCTGGAGGATAGTTAACCGCTCAAAAGGCGACTTTAATATTAGTTCCGATCGGAATCGGATAGAAATAAATGAGCAGATAATTTAATTTGAGCCGGTTACTTTCAATATTGAGTTGATCGGGTCATTTTCGAGCTAAAATAAATATAACTTGATTTGAGTCAGCTCGTTTCGATTTCGAGCCGGATCGAGCATGATTCAATTTCAAGCCGACTTGGCTTGAAATTGAATGTACCAAGCCACAGGCAGATTTATAACCGCCTAAATCTATATGTATTTAAAAAATATGTCAACACAAATCTCAAAGTAATCTAATGGTCAAGTAAAATGATGACAAATAGAGGCATCAGCAGATCGGTCGACAATCTCAGGGTAGAAAAAGTTCCCCAAAAGTAGCTTAATGATCAACTCATTTAAAAGTATAACGATCGGTCTATAGAAAATCGGTCGAACCGTGGCATGACGACCGATTGGAAGCCAACGAGGCGTAAGAAAGGAAAACGATCGACTGCAACGGTCATTGATTGTCGAAGCCCGTGTCAATCGGATAAGTCCACTTGTTATTTAATATATTTGATATATGTAATATATTAAATGGACCATGTCAAAAACTAATGATTAGAGGGCAAACTTATAATTTCAAAATCCATACCCTTATGCTTATAAATAGTGGGTCATTTTTCAATAAAAAGGTTATGCGCTTTCTATTGATCGTAACTGTCTTTCTCCTCTCTCTTTCTCTATTGCACGTTCTATTTTTTGGGTGAGCCTCTCGAACATTTCTGGATTCAACACTATTCATGTCAATTTCAAGTTGACCCTAACTCTACGTCGAAATGTCATAATCAACATTTAAGTTATTTTGATTAATATAATGATTTTTTTCCTTTTTTTTAAAAAGGATTGATGCATGATGGAATTTTAACTAGATTTTCTCTGTAATTCAACTTAGATAGCAAAAATTATAGGAGTTTTTATATATGGAGGTCTCCAAACTGTGCAATTTACAACTGAAGGCTCCAAACATTTAATTTATGCCCAAAAGTTGATCGGGTCATTTTCGAGCTAAAATAAATATAATTCGATTTGAGTCCGCTCGTTTCAATTTCGAGCCGGACTTGACTTGAAATTGAATGTACCAAGCCACGAGCAGATTTATAACGGTACTAAATCTATTTGTATTTTAAAAATATGCCAGCACAAATCTCAAAGTAATCCAATGGTCAAGTAAAATGATGACGAATAGAGGCATCAGCAGATCGGTCGACAATCTCTGGATAGAAAAAGTTCCCCAAAAGTAGCTTAATGATCAACTCATTTAAAGTATAACGATCGGTCTATAGAAAATCGGTTGAACCGTGGCATGACGACCGATTGGAAGCCAACGAGGCGTAAGAAAGGAAAACGATCGACTGCAACGGTCATTGATTGTCGAAGCCCGTGTCAATCGGATGAGTCCACTTGTTATTTAATATATTTGATATATGTAATATATCATATATCAAATATATTAAATGGACCATGTCAAAAACTAATGATTAGAGGGCAAACTTATAATTTCAAAATCCATACCCTTATGCTTATAAATAGTGGGTCATTTTTCAATAAAAAGGTTACGCGCTTTCTATGATCGTAATTGTCTTTCTCCTCACTTTTTCTCTATTGCACGTTCTATTTTTTGGGTGAGTCTCTCGAACATTTCTGGATTCAACACTATTCATGTCAATTTCAAGCTGACCCTACCTCTACGTCGAAATGTCATAATCAACATTTAAGTTATTTTGATTAATATAATGATTTTTTTCCTTTTTTTAAAAAGGATTGATGCATGATGGAATTTTAACTAGATTTTCTCTGTAATTCAACTTAGATAGCAAAAATTATAGGAGTTTTTATTTATGGAGGTCTCCAAACTGCGCAATTTACAGCTGAAGGCTCCAAACATTTAATTTATGCCCAAAGAACTCCATCACAATTTCATGTCGATGGCTCAACAA